GAGGAAATGGTGGGCATTAAAATCACCAAGTAACAGAATCGGGTGGCGGTAATGACGAAACAAGGAAGGCAAATCCGGAATAGATTAATGCCCGAGAAGGAGAGAGATTATAAAGAACAGAGCGTATACCACCTATGTAAGTGGATACGGGCTGCTGTGTAATGCAGCGAAGTATGAATAAAATAGCTGATGGTTACGGAATATCAGTGCGGAGAAGAAGGGCACTTTCATTAAAGGTCCCATCAGGAAAGGATCTGAAGAATACAATAAATTATAGCCTGAGATGTGAGAAATAACAGCAGAGTGTAATTTTGGTTCCTGTAAGCAAACACCAACAGGGGCAAACTGGGAGAGTAACATTCTGAAGCTCACCCCGATTACCCTGAGGCCGCGTATATTCCACTGTAAAAAGGCCATGATTGGCAATGATAAAGATACTTGAAATCCGCAGGTAAGGGTTCCTACGGACTGAAGGGTTGAAAAAGTCCACATGCGGAGGAGTGGAAAATGTTCAAGCAGCGAAGGAACGGGCGCTGTGAAGAAAGGAGTTGCGCAGATGGGAGCAGAGGAGAGAGAAAGAGCGGAAGGTGGATCAGTGTCCATTGATGGTTTGGTCTCTGCAATATATTCAGAGATTGCTTCAAGTGTTTCGAATTCAAAGATGTCGTATGGGAGCAATATTGGGAATGGTAGGGGAGGATGAGTAAAGATTGGAACTGTATTGGACTGTACCAAGGTAGGGGGGGGCGAAAGGGTGGAGGGAACTGGAGAAGCGTGGCAGGGGACAGAAGAGACAGGAACCTGGGAGTGTGCAGAAGAGGAAGAAACTTGGGAGGGAACAGGGGGAGGAAGGTACATTACGAGGAGGAGGGTGAAACCTCTGCACTTGTAACTGAGCCAGTGAGAGGGGAAGAACTAGGGACAGAGACAGGGAGGTAAAATGAGGAGGTGGAAGATGGGTAGGAGGTGTTACCGGACCTTTTTTTGACTTTGAGAAGTAGAGGACGATTGGGAAGAGGTGTCGTACGAGGTCTCGTCGATACTGGGCTGTAAGAGAGAACTCGAAGAAGCGAGATTAGACTGAGGCGTTGAAGTAGGACGTCTGAGCCGAGGACAGCAAAAGGATTAGATACAGGAGTGATTATGGGAGAGGTAACCACAGAGGTGGGTGTAGAAGATGGGATACCAGAAGTGGGGGGAACGTTTTGAAACACGGAATAAGAAACACGTGGGAGTCTCCCTTGGAGGCGGAGATGAGAAACTGCCATGGCATAAGGGAGACCTTCTGTCTCTTTGAGGTAACGGATTTCCCGCTCGTTTAAATAGACCTGACAACGGCGAGAGTACGAAGGGTGAGCCTCATGACAGTTTAAGGCAAGTGGAGATCGATTGCAAGACGTATTAGAATGGTCATCGGCAACCACAGACTGGGCATTCGGCGATAGATCTGCAATATTTCGCTGGATGGCAAATCGCCAGCAATTTCTACACTGTTGTGTGTAGGGATCACCTTTCGAACTTGTAACCGATGTCCTGCTATATAAACGGAGGATGGGAGATTCTCGGCTGTCAAAAGATTAAACGAGGCACATGCTAGGGTATCGTCTCGCCCACGGGCAGGAAGAACGTAGTGTCTACTTGAGGATTGGGTGATCTTGGAGTTCCAGCTGTTCTAGAAGTCGGTGCCACATGTCTGAAATTTCTTGAACTATGTATGGGGCAGATAACGGTACCACTACAAGATTGAGGGAATGATGTTTTTTCAAGGGTGACAGGAACAGTTCTATATGGGAAGACGAGAGAGCTCACGGCCTGGGTGCATTCTGTACGGTAATGTGCGCTGTACCGCTTCTTAAGAGCATAAAAGAAATATCTTTACCACTGTATGCGTAAGAGTGCCTTGCCAATACTATGGTCAGAAAGATAGCATAAGGAATTGGTCGTAAAGTGAAGAATTTAGTCCATGTTCGTCTGAAACTGAGCGTGGAAAGGTAGTGAAGACGTGTCGATCGTTTCTGAAAGAACAGAAGTGAAGGTGGAGAAGTATCATCAGCAGGTAATTCTGTTGACGTTTAAGGCGTGGGACCAGAGTTGGTCCGAGTGGAACGGTCGGCGATTGAAAATTGCCAGAACACGTAAGGGAGAGCCGGAACATATCTAGAGGAGAGCGAAGGTTCTATAAATCGATAGGAGTCAGTCGAGGCTAGTACCTGAAGCGGTAGGAAACAGTACACCGGCAATAGGTAAGAGGCATGAGGAAGGTCTGATAGTGGTCATAAAGACGAGCGGGGTCAGAACAAGGGTGCGTATCAAGAAGGCCCGGGGGTACCAGGTTCATGGACTAGCTGTCAATGTTTAGGTTACTTCTTTCTTTTTTTTTAAGATAAAAAAGAAAGAAGTAAAAGAAATATAAAATAAAAAAAATGAAAAAAAGGGGACCGGGAGGGATATCCTAGGAGGAATGAAAGGACAGAAACTCATTCCGCGCCTAAGAGGATCGTAAAACGTATATGTAGCGCAGATGCAGCATGGAAACGTGCCATACCCTACCCTTCATGCCATAAAACATCAATCTGGGATAGCAACCTCCACATCTGCCGACTACCTCGTTGCAAAAGAGAGGGCGGCCGGAATCGCCACAAGCATACCTCCTTCACCACACCCCCGAATCCGAAAGGTGGCTTCCAGAGATACACCCGTTGCCCAAAAAGACACCCAAGCTACTCGGGATACCGAAGGATGGGACATCCCAGCAATCCGATTCCACGCAAACAGCACCGCCAGAAAACAACAACGAATGGAGATCGACCCGGTGTCCTTTCTCTACCTAGGAACTAGCGTGCTGTGGGAGAAACCCAAAGGACAAAAGAGGAAGGGCAAAAGGGAGGAGTGGGAGGAGGAAGAGGAAAGAAAAAGGGGAGATGGGGAGGATGGTATGAGGAGCTGATGGGGTAATAGGTTCGGTCTGAGAGAAGAGACCGATAGGTCTAATTCCTCAGACCAAGAGCCTCTTCACCACGCCAAGGAGCCCCCCTTGAAGAGGTGCTCGTTGATAAATGTCTCCATAACCCCTAGGCCCTTGTATGACCCCTATGGGTTTAGGGGTGCTTTATCCAATTCTTGGGATGAAGCACCCTTCACTGGTGTCAAGGAACCTCCTTTGAATGGTGCGCTCTCCCCTAAATACATTAATCCCTTGGGCAACCAGCCTGCTGCTGCCCACGGCCCATAGGCATATACAGCCACTATAACCTAGCATTGCGCAAATTTTATTTAGTTATTCTTTGAAAAACTGTACTTTGCTCTGGTAAAAGCTTTAATATTGGCTGGTAGAAGTTTGAAAAGTTGTGGAATTCAGATGACACTAACTGACTAAGAATCTGTATGACCCTTGTGTGTTTAGCACTTAGTTTTGATTGATTGTGACGGACTATCCCATTTCTCAATCAGTTAATTTTTTACACTTGCTTCCAAATCTCTCATGCCAGTAAGTTACAATAATGTGTATTATAACAAATCCAGGAACACATCAGTTATACAGCAAAGTCCATGAGAGAATACTGAACGTTCTGATATATGTACACAGTACAGTATGTAATTTAGTTTAATGACAGGTTTAAGCTGCGAATGACTGGACAGATAAAATTACAAGATTTATCATAGAAACTTGAGTACTATAATGCAGCAAAGATTCATTAAGCATGTTCATACCTGGTACTTTATTTAATTGGTATTAAATCAGTAATCATTCAATAAATGTACTCGCGCATTCACTGCAGCTGTAGCTATAACTCTCCTACAAGAAAACATAAAACTGATTTAAAGTAAGAAGCTTCAAAATGACTTATTACAAAAGAAGTCAAAATATTTGATAATTGGGAATGGTTGTAATCTGATAGGAATGATTTTATTATAGACTTAACAATGAAATGGAAAAAAAAATTCTTGCAATACATAGTTTTTATCAGAAGAAATGGGTAATATACTGTTTTGTGAAGTTAATAATAATAATGTAAACAGTTTTACAACTGTTTACATTATTTTTTGAGTACCAATATACTATTCCAGGCACTATACTTGCTAAGTACAGTACTATATTAGGTACAGTACTATATTAGGTAAGCACCAAGTACTGTCTTTGGTGCATCTCATACACATTGTTCCAGGCACTGTATTTGGCAATTACCAATATACTGAACCATGCAAGTAGAGTACCAATGTATTGTCCATTATTTTACTTAATTACCAATGTACTACCCCAACTACTGTACTTGATAATTGCCAATAAATTGCACCAAGTACCCTTTTACTGTTTGTTACTTTACTTGGTAAACACCTATATACTATACCAGGTATGACATGTATTTGGTAATTAAGAGTACATATCTTAAAACATTGTCATGTTCCTCACAATAATTTTATAAATACATCTCATTCCTTGATTAATATAAAATTGGGTAAAATTGTGCAAAAACTATTGTGATGTATGTAGTTATACTACTCTTCCATATGAAACAAAATGGTGAAATTGATACTGTAAAATGGGTGAACTGTTTATAATACTACTAAAATATTTGTGACAACATACTTTTACCTTATAAACAAGAAAATTAATAGTTTTATAAATTTATTCTTCAACTATAGATGTGCCTCTCATGAAGAGAAATGCTAAAAAAATAAACTTTAAATTATAGTTACGATAATTTTTTAGGCATCACTTACATTCAAATGGAAGATTTTAAATAAATACTGTATATGCAACAGTATTAAGATTACTTTATAGTTTTTGGGGTCATTATAGGATCTCATATATAAATTATTTACATAAATCTATTTTAAGAGATCTAAAGTTCTAACATTACTGGCATCCCTAAACATCTTGGGCTTAACAAAATACAATGATACATTAATATCAAAAGTTCAATTTTATGCTAAAAATGCAACAGAAATATTAATATTTGGTCTTGAAATCTCTTTAGAGATATTAACAAAATCTGAAGTTACTGTAATATTTATTAAATTGTATTTAAATTAAGGTAAACTTAGGCTTGGAGATTTTCTACTTCACGCTGGATATTTTCCCGGGCAGTTTTTTCTCGTTCAGTTTGGAACTCTCTTGTTGCATATATATTAGGCATCAGGACTAAATTCTTTAGCATCTGTGTAAGAAAAAGCAAAGTGAAAGTTAAAATAGAACATTGTTAATTATGTTTATTTTTAATGCAAATAAATAAACAGCCTGTACATAAACATTTATTCTTTATGAAGAAACACAGGTTTAACCCTTTCAGGGTCGACAGGCCCTCTGCTAAACTTGTTCTCAGGGTTGAAAATTTTTCGGAAAAAACAAAAAAAAAAATCTTATGAATGATAGAGAATCTTTCCTGACCATAATGACACTGAAGGTATGTAATCTGATGGAAAACTTACGGAATTATGCTCTCATGAAGTTAGCGGTCTCGACGGTGTTTATGCATCGGCGATTTCGCCCAATTTGAGCCCTATTTTTGGCCAATTCCAATGTACCAGTTGACAAAAATCATATCTATTTCACTAGAGCTCCATTTTTTCTATTGAATGAGTACAAGAAACCACCCATTTACTGATTTCAACTATCCAATAAAGTGGTCAGAAATTGGCAATTTTGCCAATTTCACACAAATTTCAAAAGATGCCAATTTCCAAATAGGGTCCAGAATAAACAAGACAGACATTCCTGGAACTAAAATAACATTTTCTCTGTTCATTAGTCCCATCCCCAGGCCTCTCTTACATTTCTTTTGCTTTCCACTTTGAATTTTTATTCTCGCAAAAAATAGAAGACTTACTGTTATATGCAGACTACTGCATTAGTGTAGAAATGGTATAAATATCAGTGCACTTGTGAAAGAATATCAGACTCGCCAGTTGACGTGTATTGGACGCGTGGCATGATTTGATTACTTTTGAACTTGGGCAAAAATTGAACATTTCTGCTACTTTGAGCTCAATTTCAAGGTACTTTTCATCATGAAACCAATCAAAATCATCTCAATTTCTGTAATATGTCTTCCATTCTATAAAACGAGACCAGGAAAACTAGAATACAACCATAAATAGCATAGGAAAATACACTGCACAATCGCTGTTTTAGAGCAGAAACACGGTTGGTTTTTTTTTTTCTCTTTATGCACTGTGTGCTGCGGAATTTTTTTTTACACTGTGCACACTGACCACATAGACCCATTCTTTCATATGTAGGCCTACCAGTTTTCTCTCGCTAGATTTGAAGGCGCTAGAGTTTATGCGTACTAGTACTGCACCAACCCTGAAAGGGTTAATGATATTGTTTAACAATGTTAATAATTTACATGGAAAAATGCCTAGTTATTCAATGTATTTCTGGCAGATTAACTTAAAACTGCTTGTCACTGATTACCTCAAGGTTGATTATGTGAAGTCTAAGGTTGACATAACTACTTTGAGGATAAGAATACTAATACACTTGATTATTCTAAGTAACAAAACTTTGTATATTTATTACGACAATGTTAATATGAAGCGACCAACAAAACAGTACTGACAAGTAAAAAAGAATAGGGGTAGGACATAGCTGAGCCAAGAAGTACAAGAGTATAACTGCTGATTGGCATCTGGGTAAGCAAATTAATAACATCAAATTCAGGTGATTTTTTTTTTATTATTATATTTTTGTAGTTGGTTGATAGGAAACTTAATCAAGTTAATATTACATTAATTAGAAAGAATGACCAGAACAGGCATACATTTGGGGATGGGAAATTCATTTAGCACAAAATCTTATGGTTACATAAGATTTTGTGCTAATTGAATTTAGGAGTTATACACCAAGCAAGAAAAAATGAATACTGTTAAAAAATACACATCAAAGTCCACAAATGAGGAAGCCCACAAATTTGTAGGGATGATTATACCTAATACCCCACTGCTATATAGTTATATCTGCAAGAATGACAATCAGCACTATTGCACCAACTGCCAACAATGAGGAATACTTAACTAAAATCAGTCAGATGGGAGATATGACTGTGGATCATCCTGTGACCAGAGGTTAAGTCACAGGATAAATTCTGCACTAACTCCTACTTAATTTGTTACTACTGACCAAATTAACATTATTATCAACATCACTATACTCTTAAAAGTTATTTCAAAATGTATACAGTAAAGAGTACAGTTTACTAACTTTAAGTCTAAGCTGGTTGTATGCATTTGTAGGAAGATGAATATATTCAGCTTGAATCTTAGTGGTGTACTGATCATATTCTGGTGCTGGGACCCCTAACACTGCTGTGGTAAAATCCAAGAAGTAGTGGACATCATCTGAGCCAGAGCCTCCCTCCATCATGTGGGCATCTGTTAAGTTACTAACTGAAGCCTCCAGCAATGAACGTACTGCTACTGCCAATGATGAATCCTGAAAAAAAGTAACCTTATCACCTCACAAATACTTTAAACATGTATAATCTTCCCAAAGTTCAAAATATGCTGCAATATCTTCATTTTTTTTTTAAGTTAGTAAATTTCCAAACATTTATCCATGCCAGTCAATTTCTTTTCTTCATACGGTTCTAGGATTTCTTGTCATAAGGATTACAAAAAAAACTACGTATCCATATTTTCTTTACAACATGACAGTAACCTCCAAGTATTCCTCTTTGATCCTCACTAATCTATTCAACCAATCTTACAGATTTACACAGAGCTCTTTAGTACTTTACAATTAATGGAATAATGTAGATACAATGCAGTATATCTGCACAAGTAACACAATTTGGAAATGAAATTTAAAGATTTTGGGCAATTGCAGACATTATCAAATTGCAAGTCTTCATTTAAATTTAAATTTGTGGGTTAGTTGTGAGTTGTTCCAGCCATGATATTGTGGCTTTTATTCATGCAGTGTATGTACTTGGTTAGGGAGAAAGCTTAATATAATTCCGTATTTACATTCCTTCTTGAAATTTGAAAAACAGCTGTAAAGTTACTATACAAAAAAAATCAGTCTAGGCATGTTACCTGTTGGCCTTCTCCTGCCTCTGAGATGAATTCGTCAAACCTCTCGATGTTCTTGATGTCAGAGTCACCACAACGTGGGTTATACTCCAGTCTAAAAACGGTATACAGTACACATGTATTACAAAGTAGTAGCTACGTATTACTGATTTAGAGTATTTGCTGTACTTTCTGGCATTTTTCTATCTCAAAAGCTGTCTTCCACCAAGGCATGGTGGCTCAAGGAAAATGCATTCACAAGCATTCAGTCAACTGCTATCTTGCCAGAGGTGTGCTGACATTGCAATTCAGATTACCCTCCAACTGCAGCATCCCAGCCCCTCCTCCCTCAGAATGCAGGCACTGCCTTTTCCACCTCAAAGACTCGAGTCTGGCTAACTAGTTTTCCCTGAACTCCTTCATAAATGTTGCCTTGCTCTCACTTACAGCACGTCAACTAAATATGTTCTCAAGCCTACTGCATGTTCGAGTCCCTAGCACTCAAAACTTCCCTTAACCCCTCCCTCCAACCTTTCCTGGGGCATCTGCTATCTTTCTGGCCTTCTTTCCACATCATCTATTCTGTTTTAGCCATACCTAAAGCATCTCAACAACCCCTCCTCAACCCTCTGGTGACCCCACATCGCCTTTTAATTTATACAATCTGAATTCTCCAAATGATATTCACACCACACAGAGCTCTCAAACATCACGTTTCCACTGCCTCCAGCACCCGCCTCACTACAATGCTGAAAACCCATTATGCACATCAATATAAAAATGTGAATATCACTATACTCTGGTGCAAACCCCTTCATGCCTCCACAGGTATCTCAACACACCATTTACGTTTCTTTCTCGTCAACCATTCTATGATTCACCTCGTTTTTCGTAGACTCATTTACCAGCACGTCCACTTCCAAATGTTTGAATACATTTACTTCCTCCACACTCCCTCAAGTCTGATATACAATTTTTCATTGCTTAGATTTTTTCCATCACCCTGCTCTTTTTTTCTATGAACACAGAAATGAGATACCTTGGAGATATACATAATTCCTAAGCATTCAAAGTAGTCAGGTAAATGGACACATTCAACTTAATCAGATGTATATTAAGGCAATGTTTTGCCCACCAGGGGCTTTGTCATTAAGTTGTCTGTGTCTATTTACATAACTAATGTCAGTACAGTATTAATACCCATAATTACACATTCAAAGGAACAGTATCTCATAGTTTTATAAGTAGAGACTGATTTACTGTCAGTTCGTTTGCAAATTAAAAGTGTTTCTTATGAAACATGCATACAACTGAATAAATTAGTAATGCAGATAAATAGTGAAGAAATTATTTTAATGTGGTTAATTATCACGAATAGTGAACTGCTACAGACCTACTGGGTAGAATGGTTTAGCTAGTAAATGAGCATATCAAATCAGAAGTGTGTGATAAACCATGGCAGCCAAAAAGTATTAGATGAACCGGGTAATGGACTCAGATTTTTTCAAGTTTCCCTCAGGTAGATTTGATATACTTTGGAGCTCATCCAGCACATTTACAACATTCTAAAACAGGGAGCCTACACCACCCTGTCATAATTTCCCAGCTAAATGTCAGAAGATTTGATTTTACTCACCTTCCACAACTTGTCAAACCTGCAGGCATACTTTGCCTGTTATCAAAGGTCATCACTCAAACATACTGCTTACCTTCCACTATACACTTACTTCAGCCTCCATGATCCTCACCAAATGTGCTTGTTGAATATTTGCTTTCTCTCCATTATCCTTTTATTCAACCTTTCAGATTTTAACTTGCAAACCTGTAAAAGGTGTATTAAAAGCAAAACTGAAAATAATAAGCAATTTTAATATTTAGGGATTTTGGGAGTAAAAAGCAACCAACTTAAAAGACGTAGTACCTTATACTGTACAATGTACTGTACAAGATCTAAAGGAGCTGCTTTGATTTAAATAAATGAAAGTACATGTAAGGATAATACAACTCAAAAGAAGAGACTTATAATAAGTGGGAAAGTAAAAGTGGACTATGTTGTGGCTCCAACCCAGAAAATCCCAAAATACGTAGATAAATGAACTTAATGAACAGTGAGAAAATAAATTATAAGAATTATAATATACAGTCAAATACAGTGCAAGGAAAGGAAAGTTTTCATGTGCAGCCATACAGTGCCTCTGAGTTTGCAGAAGAAAATGCAAACCTTGGTAAACAATTCAAGTACTATAAATTCGAAACGACTTTTAACACGGATGTACACTACTGTGACAGTTGTACTAACATACTTGTGGAAAAATGTGGCTAATGCCAAAGCTTGAGGATTAGTTAGCTTTTCTTCATACTGATGATAAAGAGAAAATAACTGAGCAAGGTAAGCATGCCCATGGTACACCCGGCCTTCCTCTGTGTACTGACGACTGACGGTGCTCCACCAGCGCTCGCTCACAGCACCTGCAGCAAAGCTGGTAGCAGCGTCCCATTCACTTCTCAGATCTTCCATAGTCTTGCAGTTCCTACAAAGAAATAAGATCCAATACGTATATCCAAAAATAGATCCAATATATAGCACATAGCAATATCTAGTGGCCTGGTGGCTTTCGCTTCACACAGCAAGTGTCTGGGTTCGATTCCCAGCCAGGGTAGAAACATTGGGTGTGTTTCTTTACACCGGTTGTCTATGTTCACCCATCAGTAAAATGTTAGTTGACTGGTGTGGGTTGCATCCTGGGACACTCACCTAATTTGCCTGAAATGCTCAGCATGACAAGGGACTTTCTATACAGTAGTACAAGTCATTGATGTCAGCTAGGTCTGTATACCATGTACATGTACAGTACTTGTAGTATAGGAGGGCCCTGCTCTACAGTTTCACTAATGCAGTGGTTTTCAGTTATACCCATTCTTCATTTATTCAGACTTCCTACAATAAATACAGTCACCATTCACTATAAGCTTAGGACGAAACTATTTTAAGGTAAGTAATGTGTGTACTGTATATGCATTTTTTAGGCCTAGCTATATTGCTTACTTAATATATGATAATATAAACATGTTATCAGGCTTTTATATGCATTTGAAAGTGAAAAAAGGCTATGTTTCACTTTAGTGATTTTTGCTTTATAATAGTAGCCCAGAACCTAACCTGCTGCATAAGTGGGGCCTGCCTGTATTGCACATGCCATCTCTCTACCATCAATGTATCTTTAAAACCTTGTGTACCATATTACATAAAAATATACTTACTGGTGAAAAAATAAGATGGAGTGGCAGGAGAAACTGAATATTCAAATAGCTTCAGGAAACAATCGAAATATTTTTCCTCGAAGCCTTTTTATTTACATCTCCAAGGCTATGTGGGTCTTCACAATCTGTACTAGAGGTGGATCCCAATATATATGTTATTAAAAACAGCACAGTAAATTGTTATTGTGAAGAATACCATGGTAATATGGAGTTTGAACTCTCAAAACCTTCCAAGACAGAGAACATAATGTTGCAGAAGGCAGAAAAGAAAAGAGCAGCAGGTCAGGTCAAATAGAACACTAATAGGTAAAGTCAGACAGCAGAAAATTTATAGCAGGTCAGGTCAGACTGCAGAAAGATCACTGCAGGTCAGGTCAGACTAGTAAAAAGGTGTCACAGTTAAGGCTGTAGCAAAAGGTCAGGTTGGATCAGAGAGCAAGGACATTACAGTTATATGGGAAGCGATAAACCCATAAGGGTGATACACAGTCTGGGGAATAGAAGCCAATCAAGTTTGATCCAAGGATCAGGACAAGTCCAATTCCTTGGATCAAGAACCCCTCATCAGCAACAAGGAATTCCCTTAGGACAACGTGAATAATGCAGGTCAATTCAGGTTAGACATTATGAAGAACAGTGCAGATCATGTCAGATATTATGAAGAACAGCACAGATCATGTCAGACATTATGAAGAACAGCACAGATCATGTCAGACATTATGAAGAACAGCACAGATCATGTCAGACATGAAGAACAGTGCAGATCGTGCCAGACATTATGAAGAACAGCACAGGTGAGGGTAGACAGCAGAAGAAACTGACCCCATGGGATCAACATTCTCAGAAAGTTCTACCATAACGTTAACATTCAGAGAACAATGTACAAATCAGCAATGTGCTTGTTATTTACCCAGTTTACTCTGAAAATCAAGAGCACCACTGCCTACAAATCACATACACAAATGCTACAAATCACACCCACACCATATCAATGACACCCAATCAGCACCTCTTAAAACAAGGAAGATCAATGAAGTAATATATCATTTAAACCACCCCGGGTCTGGCCCTTCCCGGGACAACGAGGTCATTTTAACACCAATGTACTTATAACCCCGAGCTGAAAAGTTGCACATGCAGCACCCGCGTCAGCTCCAGCATTTCTGTGGGAGAAGAGAGGGCAAAAAAATGTAAGTGGGCTTACTGTTAGCAAGTATAAAGAGGAGAGGGAGATACCGCCCACTTCAGCAGCAGTTTGACTGGTGACTCACACCACAGCAGACTACACTACATTATATGTACATACATACACACACTCCTCTTTTATATTTATTTAGTCTCTCATGCTTAATTTTAAACTTTAGTAGTGCTTTTGTGTTGTAAATTTTGTAGAACTGAATCTTGGATAATTGAATAATGTCTAGCAGTGTGGATCAGATTTAGATTTAGATTTTGCCACCGAAATTGCTAGTCTATTGTGACCTCCATATCCGTCCTGTGGAGGGTAGTGCAAGAGTATATGATACACAAAAAAGGTCCCAGGAACTAGGTCTCAAAAGGGTTAACAGGTGTACATATGGGTTTTTATTTATCTACATATCTACAGTTAACTTATGTTACAAGCAAATTTACGAAATTTGCTTAGTATATCGGGTATCTTATTTTCATTAATAAGATAGCTTGACATGTCACATAGGTTATTATACTGTGTTTCTGTATTCCTAAATAAGTGGACAATAATATATATATATATATATATATATATATATATATATATATATATATATATATATATATATATATATATATAATATATATATATATATAATATATATATAAGCACATAGTGTTCAAGACAGTGACCATATGCCTGATCATCTAATTTGCATTTAGTTCGATCATCATCTGTGTGTCTCCCAAACTGCCAGAAGTACTTGTAACCAAGCCTAAGCCTGGCCACTACAACATCAGTCAGTAGACATGGGATATCTGGAAAAACAGATGGGACGCGAGACTTGGACCACCCTAGAAGATGCCGTGCCCATATGACAACGGGAAAATGCAAACTCCCTTCTTGTAAGCTTTTTCACCCTGAAATGTGTCCCTCTTCAGTACAGGAAAGACTGCTATAACTTAAATTGCCAGGCACACCATCTAAGGGGACAAAAAGATACAAAACATCCATACCATTGGAAAACCTGGGTAGCAACAGCCACTCAAGAGGGGGAGGTGTTTTAGTGCCAGGAAGGAAAAACAACTGGCAGGAAATGGCAGAAATCGTACACCAAATCCAGTCATTTCTGGAGTGGAATCACAGTCGATGGCCTCCACTCCAAACCAACAGATACAGATATTAGTGCCGGAAAAAAAAGTCCCCTCCCCCCAGTACCACCAATCCGATGACATTCTTCTTTGCAAATATACAGGGTCTAAAGCCAGCAACGAACAACAAAATACCTTTCATCCGTGGACTGCTTGCAGAGGCAAAGGCAATGTTCGCGGCTTTCACTGAGACCTACATAAAGGATCACTTGGACAACGAAATATGGATCCCAGGTTACAACCTATACAGATGTGACAGAGTGACTTAAGAAATCGTAATGACACGATTGCAAACAAACCATACCCCCGGCAAAAGGAAGGGGGGTTGGCCTGCATATCGCAGAGCCACTTATTTGCACAGAACTGCTTAATGCTTCAAATGATATAGTGGAAGTTTTAGCAGTAAAGATCGAGAACCAAAATCTAGTCATTGTGGTAGTCTACAAGCCTCCAGATGCAACGTCCCAACAATTCCAGGAACAGCTGTTGAAAATTGACCAGTCTGGAAAATCTTCCAGCTCCTGCCCCCAACATCTTGCTCCTGGAGGATTTCAACTTGAGGCACCTAAAATGGAGGAATATAGCAAATAATGTTGTTACAGTGAGGTTCCTGAACCTGTATTCCCTGGAACGCAGGCGGGAGAGATACATGATTATATACACCTGGAAAATCCTAGAGGGACTAGTACCGAACTTGCACACGAAAATCACTCACTACGAAAGCAAAAGACTTGGCAGACGATGCAACATCCCCCCAATGAAAAGCAGGGGTGTCACTGGCACGTTAAGAGACCATACAATAAGTGTCAGGGGCCCGAGACTGTTCAACTGCCTCCCAGCATACATAAGGGGGATTACCAACAGACCCCTGGCAGTCTTCAAGCTGGCACTGGACAAGCACCTAAAGTCGGTTCCTGATCAGCCGGGCTGTGGCTCGTACGTTGGTTTGCGTGCAGCCAGCAGTAACAGCCTGGTTGATCAGGCTCTGATCCACCAAGAGGCCTGGTCACATACCGGGCCGCGGGGGCGTTGACTCCCGGAACTCTCTCCAGGTAAACACCAGGAAGCAGCTCAGACGAGAACACACACACGAGCTTTTAAATCTCTGCACAAATTTCAACTTAAACCAGCAAATAATAGAGCCTACTAGATTGGAGAATGCACTGGACCTCATCTTCACTAACAATGATGATCTGATACGAAATGTCACCATATCAAAAACAATATACTCTTATCACAACATAATCGAGGTTCAGACATGTATGCGCGGAGCCCCAGACCGACAAAATGGGATCAGTCAGGAGGGAGCCTTCATCAAATTCAACTTCGATAACAAGAACATAAAGTGGGACCAAGTAAATCAAGTCTTAAATGATATAAGCTAGGAAGATAGACTAAGCAACACAGACCCTAACTTATGCCTAGAACAGATTAACTCCGTGGCACTCGATGTATGCTCAAGGCTTATTCCTTTAAGGAAAAGGAGTAGATGTAAAATAGAAAGAGACAGGCGCTCCCTTTACAGGCGACGGAAAAGAATAACAGAGCGGCTAAAAGAGGCCAATATATCTGCAGTGCGTAGGGAGACACTGGTCAGAGAAATAGCAAACATGGAACTAAAGCTAAAGGAATCTTATAGGAGTTAAGAATCGCGGGAAGAACTAAAAGCCATAAATGAAATCGAAAGAAAGCCAAAGTATTTCTTTTCGTATGCCAAATCAAAATCGAGAACAACATCCAGTATTGGGCCCCTACTTAAACAAGATGGGTCCTACACAGATGACAGCAAGGAAATGAGTGAGCTACTCAAGTCCTAGTATGACTCAGTTTTTAGCAAGCCGCTAACCACACTGAGAGTCGAAGATCTAAATTAATTTTTTTATGAGAGAGCCACAGAATTTGGTAAACACAAGCCTATCTGATGTTATCCTGACACCAAATGACTTCGAACAGGCGATAAATGACATGCCCATGCACTCTGCCCCAGGGCCAGACTCATGGAACTCAGTGTTCCATGAGTCCACTCCATAAAGGGGGCAGTAGAGCAATAGCAAAGAACTACAGACCGATAGCGCTAACATCCCATATCATAAAAATCTTTGAAAGGGTCCTAAGAAGCAAGATCACCACCCATCTAGATACCCATCAATTACACAACCCAGGGCAACATGGGGTTAGAGGAGGTCATTCCTGTCTGTCCCAACTACTGGATCACTACGACAAGGTCCTAGATGCACTAGAAGACAAAAAGATGCTGAGATGTAAGTATACCAGAATCTTTCGCAACAACCTTCGACAAAGAAGTGTGACGCAAGGCGTAAATAGCGCACAAAATGCGTGTTAAAGGAATAACAGGAAAAGTTAGTAGATGGATCTATAATTTCATCACAAACAGAATACAAAGAGTAATAGTCACACACCAGAGTTAAAATCTCTGAGGCGGCTACGGTGAAAAGCTCTGTTCCGCAAGGCAGAGTATTTGCTCCCATCTTGTTTTCTCATCCTCATAGCTGACATAAACAAGGATGTCAGCCACAGCACCGTGTCTTCCTTTGCAGATGACACCCGAATCTGCATACAAGTGTCTTCCATTTGCAGACAACGCATTGCAAGGCTCCAGACGGACATCAACACAAATATTTTCAGTGGGCTCGAAAACAATATGAAGTTTCAACGATGAGATATTTCATTACTCTCGATATGGGTAAACACATGAGGAAATTAAAACTGTCATCAGAGTATAAAACACTTCCAGCCACACAATAGAGTGAAAAACTAACGTACCAAAGACCGGGAGTGATCATGTTCGGAGTATCTCTCACCTCAAGGACCATAACATTGTATCAATCGCATATGCTAAAAAATGACAGGATGGGATTATTAGAACCTTCAAAACCTAGGGATGCCCAAGCCAATGAACACTCTCAGGTCGCTTGCCTCGATATAGGATGGAAATATGCTGCACACATAACAGCACCTTTCAAGGCAGGTGAAATATGTTGACCTAGGAAAATGTACAGAGAACCTACACGCCGCATAACGGAGATAAAACACCTACAATTACTGAGAAGCGCGGGGGGGGGTAGGCCTGTACCTGTACTCCCTGTACGCAGGCGGAAGAGATACATGATTCTATATACACCTGGAAAATCCTAGAGGGACAAGTACCAAACTTGCGCACGAAAATCACTCTCTACGAAAGCAAAAGACTTGGTAGAACGATGCGAACATCCCCCCATGAAAAAACAGGGTGTCACTAGCACGTTAAAGAGACAACACAATAAGTGTCAGGGGCCCAAGACTGTTCAACTGCCTGTCTTCAAGCAGGCACTGGACAGACACCTAAAGTCGGTACCTGACCAGCCGGGCTGTGGCTCGTACGTTAGATTGCGTGCAGCCAGCAAATAACAGCCTGATTGATCAGGCCCCAGATTGTATTCCACCATGAGCCTGGTCACAGACCGTCCTCGGGCGTTGACCCGCACCCGCGGGGGGGGGGGGGGGGGGGGGGGGCGGGGGGGGGGGGGGGGGGGGGGGGGGGGGGGGGTAGGGGGGGGGGTGGCAGTTTGGGGGGGCCCTGCGTGTACCTAGGACATTCTCTTTAGACTCACTTCCTAAAACCTTGTGAAGTGACAAGGATACTCTATTTGACAGGTATTTATTGTATTTATTTTATTTATTATCACAGCAGATAAGCAAACCACCCAATATTCATTTTGGCTAGTTCATGTAGTGATATGGTTTCTGTTCGCAAATATAAAATGCAGATTTTAGATCAAGAAAAGTGGTAAAACTAGTAGAGGTGTGTGCATGAGAAAGGTGGAAATACATTACTGCACATCTTAACTTTTCATGAACCTATAAGAGGTAGGAAAAAAGATGGTGTCCTGATTCCTATATGTACAGTCCTGTTTAGTATCATTCCTTCAAAAAGTTTTACAAAGACAACTAGTCTTTAAGGTGGATCATGACCCTAAATGTACAGGCTGCTCTGGGTTAGTTTAGCACAATGAGACTATTGGTCCTGAAGAAGGAAGAACTCCCTCCAGTGATAACTGGTATATAATCACGCACAAATGGAAATAAGTCACTGTCCTGACTTCATTTGGGTTATCCTAGCTTCCTTGCACTTAACGCTATGTATGAATAATCTATGTAACTGTATTTATGTATATTTGATAACTACTTTCTTACACATGCTCCATTGGAACAGGAAGAGTGACCTATACGGCCATGAACA